CAGAAGAGGCAAATATTATCAGTTTCTCAGTCAGAATAGTGAAGTCAAGACTAGAGGCAGAATCAGAAGTACTGTGGAAAACTTAAGAACAAAAAATTTTATCTTTAGTATGCACCATTTTTTGATTGTACAAAATAGCATTGGAGTGAAAATCAGAGTCTTATTCATTTAACTTATTTTGGAAAATATGAGTTGACAAAATTTGGTTTAGGCTGTCTTTTCACCAAGTAATCCTTTCTAAGCATCCTAAGAGATGTACGTAATTAAAACCATATGATTGTGTGTGTATTAATGCACAAAACCTTTTAGGATATCTTTAGTCTGGAAATAAACTAGAGAGTTTAAGTTACAGTCTTTTCCTCTGTCTCTTTGTAAAATCTCATCTGTCTTTGTCTTCATTCAGCAGTGATCAGTGCCTTCTCTTGGAGCCTGTTTTCCATCTGACACTGGGATAGGCTGTTCTGGTTGTTTTTCTCATGTGTTTTTCCTTTCTCTGTTCCTGCAATTTTCTGCAATTCTATCCTTAGCTGTCATCAGTTTCCTTGGGCATGTTATACCTTAACTTTCTTTGCTAACGGTTTCCAGGTTTTTCTCACTTGCATTTTTAAAAAAATGCTAGCTACCTCTTGGATTCTGAATTCATGCGGTTTCTCCGTACCATTTCACTCTTCATTTTTCCTGTTCTTTCATCTTGCAGATATTCCTGTTGCTTGGCATAGCAAAAATGGCTTATGTTGTTTAGCTCTTTTTACTATTCCTTGCTTACATCATATATAACCAAAGTATTGTACATGTGATACATTTGCAACGTCTCAATTAGTCTTCCATATGGTTAAGGGTTTTTTTTTTCTTTGCTATTGCTTTCATCCTGCCCTTTTCTTTCATAGTCTCCACACTGTTGCGGCTAGAGCTATTCTCTTGGAATTTTCCAGGCTATGTTATCTCATTTGCCTTTATGAATGTCCTTCCTTTGGTGTTGTTTAAGCATTTTGCTTAAAGTTAAATTTATTCCAGTTGAAATTCTGTTAACCTGCACTTATGTATAAACTTCTATTTCATCTTTTACCTCCCTGTTCTTGCCCAGATTTGTGTTATCATGCATTTTTTTTTCCTTACTCTGCTTTTTGCTTCAAGCAGCTTTCCATGACATGCATGCTAAATCCTTACTCCAACACACTTTTACCATAAAGGTCTGTAAACCCATTTAGTGTATGTCCACAGGGTATAAGTTTATAGTTTAATCTCCTGTACTCTGCATCCAAACAATCCTTATTCTATCTAAAATTCCATCTTCTTTGAGACAGATTAGATTTTAGTATATGCATTCAGTGAATATGAATCTGTGAAGAGCAATAGAGAGCATAACTCTAAATAGTACCTGAGCATGTGAAGAATCATGGGCTAGGGAAGCTTAATACTCTAGCTAGTTTAAATAGGCAGTATTCTGATAGTATTGTTGCTTCTCATTTAGACTTCCTTGCATCTCATGGTCCTTTTCCTCATAAGATTTATCATGTGGCTTCAAAAACAGCAGTGTGCTCACTTTTGTTGTTTCCTAGGCAATTTGGAATTGAGAAAGCAAGCCAACAGTCAGGGAAAGCATCTTGAATAAATGTTGATGGTCACTGTGGCTTTAAGCACATCATCTCTGGGTTTGGCTGTTTCAGTTCCTTAGAAACGAATTCAGAAATATGAGTGAAATAAGAGCTGAATGTTATCTTGTGAAAACTATTCACAAGTGTATTGTGGGATATGTTGGTGGTTTTGTGGCATAAAGAGACATGTTTGAGGCTCTTAGCATTTGAGGAGAGAAAGCTGTTAAAGCTGTCTGAGGTCTGCCATTCATTTTGCAGAAAGGTTGCAAATATAATCTACTAGAAGTTTTTGCTTTTTTTCCAAAGGCTTATTTGACTTTGTCAGTGAAGATTTTAGCATCTTATATATCTGCAAAATAGAAAAACAGTATTCCTTGTAATATCTGTTAGAATGGTGAACCTCAGAAAGGAATAGGCCTTTAACAAGCCTGTCAGCTATGCTGTTATCTTTGTTTGTGTATGGAAATTCACTGTATGCTCTTATCCTTGTGAGTTAAGGAAGGGAATGACAAACTGAAGGGAGTAACATGAGATAATGTGAAAACCTGATCTAATGCTTGCCTATTGGTCTGAAGGATAGCTCAGCAAAGGTATAGCTTGTTTGCACAAGAGGGGGGCTATAAACAGTATTTATTAAAAAGTAGTGAGAATACTTGAAAATTAAATTAGAGGTAAGATATATGGCTATTGTTACTAAAATCTAAGGCCTTCCATTGCTTTCAGTCTAAATTTCATAAATGTCCTCTTGGGGAAGATTTCACAAAAACTCCAACCTATGGTCTTGTGGGAGTGAAAAAGCCCTGTTTAATGAGGATTTGATACCTCCTTATGGTACGATAATGAGATTGCTTGTTTATGAGAAAAAGAGTGTGTGTGTGTGTAGGTAAGTGGGGCAAAATATCTTTCAAATATTACCTGTATCTGTTCAGCAGATTTAAATTTTGATCACAGTGAGTATTTTTTTGCACTTCAGATTTCTGCCATCAAAGTCATGCTAGTAGGTTTGAGGGTATTTTCCTTGCTAAACATACCTGTGCTGGCAGAAGCACGAGTGTTAGCAACTGTACCATCAAAATAGTACTTCTGCTGTTTAAATAGTAGTGTTAATGTGCTCCTACTCTAGATGTGATTGCAGAAACTGAATGTTCATGCTGTAGGAGATGAACTGTTGCAGCAAATATACCATATTTTCTTTAGAGTTTTTAGTTCCTAGGACTGGTAACCCCATCCTCTAGTGAATATTTTTTAAAAGTTCTATGTGATGTCTAACATTACAAGTATTTTAGAAAAAAGTATGCATGTTCTATGACATAGCAGAGTTTGACTGAAATGATAGGTTTTCATTACAGGTGTTGCACCCTGCTGTAGAGTCGCTAGACCTCCGAGACTGTGATATTTCAGATAATGCATTATTGCAGCTTTATAACTGCAAGCAACTGAAAAAAATCAACTTAAATTCTTGCAAAGAAAACAGATTAGGAATCACTTCAGAAGGTATGTTATCTGTGTAAAGGTAACTGGGATCTTATTTCTATTTTATTTTTCTTGTTAGCTTGGAGTAAATTGCAAAAATATCTAGGTAAATATTGCTTAAAAAAATCCCCAATGCCACACTAATACTAATTAAAGGTCACTTCAGCAGTGTAAATTATAGACCTAGAGCACTGATTATCTTACGAAAGAGAGCTATCAGATTACTTCTCATGCTAGGTTTCTAGTGAAACTATGCTACATTTGATCATATTTTCCACTTCATCTTAAGTATTCCTTCCTCAAAACTTGTTCCAGAGCTTTACCAGTACCACTGGGGTTGAAGTTTGAGGCTTGTGATTTCCTAAATTACTTTTTTCCCCTTTTTTAATTAAATGTATTTGTTTATTTAATAAGCTTATAGCATCTTCTCTGACTCAAAAGACTTGACTTGCTTTAGGACTTCAGGATTTCAGGTTTTACTTTTAACTTGCAGTTTCAAGTTGTATCAGGAGCTATTACCTTAAAACTCAGCAAGCTTAATTCTTTTATTTCCCACAAGTTTTGTTTTGTCTTTTGCTTACACTTACTCCTTTGGTTCATCATTAATTCATCCTTATTGAAAATTGAGGCAAAATATTAATTTAGTATTGGGCTAGTGTATACTGTACTTCAGATAAGTCCTGGTTTGTATTTTCTTACCACTGCATAGTGATACACTTACCTTTTTACTTAAGTAATTGGTTAAACTTCTAAAAATTGCTTTCATTTATTTTCCGTGTCACCTCATTGTTATACTTTTTGACCCCTAAGATATAGTTCGCGATGGTCTTCCCTCCATGCCTTCATCTGTCCACTGATTTCTAGTACAGTTCTTAAGGTACCAGCTAAGCCTAGAGCTCTTTATGTATACTTTTCATCTCTTTGCATAGGGATTCCTGATTACTTTGCAATTAAAACTGGGAAGTCTAGTTCTTTATTAGAAAGGTCCTAGTCCATCCTATTTTACTAACTTCCCTACTGATAAACTGAGCCCTTTTTAAACTGAGAATCAGTTATGAAGCCTTTAATTTCAGCTGGAACAGTTCTTTATCACTCATCTCAATTACATACAGGAAAAAAAGACCCAAATCCACCCCATTTTAAAGCAGTGTTACCTTTTACTAATTCATTAACATGTGGTGTTTTTTGGTTGTTTGGTTTGGGTGGAGGCTTTTTGGGGGGGGGGGGGAGGTATTAAGAAACCTGCTGGCTAGCACATCCAGAAATATCTGAGGCCTGTCATTACTAGGAAGCATTTACTCTATAGGTTGCACGTGGAACGTTTAGTGTCCTTTAATACAATATCCAGTAGTACTTACTTCTCCACCAAATTCAACTACTGCCACTGTCTCTTCTATCATTCTTTGCAAAGTGGTTCTGACCCAAGCAAGTACTATTTTATGCATGTTTCTTTGAAGTTCTTACATAGTAACATATCTTAATGACATTCAACTTTTTATTTCTATCTATCCAGAAGTGATGTAATTTTCTCTACTGCTGTAATCATCATGTTTCCATCATCCTTGAAATAAATTCCTTTCACGAATTTCATCTGTAGTTCCTGACTTTTATTTTATTGACTACCTCCTGACACTTCTCCGCAAATATTTTGGTTATTACTAACTTGCAGGGCTCTGAGAGCACCAGCAGACCCTAATGGCCATGACTAGTCTCACCTGGCATGCCCACCTACACTAGCTGTCCATGGACCTTCAGTCCTGGCCTGAGCTGTGCTGTAGGTGTACCTCATTCCTGTCCTTCTTCTGAACTACTGTTTTGATTTTTTGAATTGACCTCGGACATGACCTCTTACCGTGCTTTTTGCCTGATACTCACTGCACCGTCAGTTGGACCTAGCACTATCATCAGTCTGCTTTCAAGTCATTGGCTTTTTTTTCATGCACTCACTGAGGTGATACCTCATGTATATAACATCCCTCAGATACCTCTCTGCAGTATGGAAGGGAATTCAGCATTTAGAAGTTTTTATCAACTCTAGCATTGTTCATTGTCATTTTCTTTTTCTCATCCTTGAATTAAAAGAAACCAACCACAAAATTATTTCCTTGTACAGAGTCTTGCTGGCATGGCACAAGATGAAAGTTGAACAGTCAATGACCAGGGGACAGCATATTGGATACAGCATGGTGGTTATGTTAAAAAATTAATAATTCTTTAAATTGCTCTGTTTTTTTGACAGGTGTCATAGCACTGGCCTTATCCTGTCCTTACTTGCGTGAAGCGTCTTTTAAAAGGTGCTGCGATATAACTGACAGTGGAGTTCTTGCTCTTGCACTTAACTGCCAGTTCCTACAAATTGTGAACTTGGGCAGCTGTTCAGGCATCATGGATGCATCCCTGCAGGCACTAGGAGAAAACTGCAAATTTCTTCACAGTGTGGACTTTTCATCTACTCGGGTAACTATGGTGGCAATTACCTAATTGATTTTTGTCGTTTAAGATTGTCATGACAAAATTGCAAGGGGATCTTTTTAGCTCTACTCTTGACAAGATTTAGGACTGAAGTTCACTTCCAATTTCCTACTCTAAAGGAAAAAGAAAGATATATTTTACATCTTGGTGACCAGAAAAATACACATTTTGGTATTACAGCATGTATTGTGGACCAAAAAAACTTTTATTAGAATCTACCTAATACTGGAGATTTTTTTTTTCAGTATCTTTATTTAGTGCAATCACTTTCTTCGAGTTGTAAAGTAATCCAAAATATTTAATTTAAAGAAAGTAGAATCTTGGACAGATTATTGTCTGCTTTCAGTTAGGATAAAATGACCTGTATAATAATAATAATATAGGGTATCAAACAATATAAGCCCCTAGTAGAAGTAAACACTCCATAACTAGTTCTAGTTCAAGAGTGACTGTGCTTTCTGAATGGCTTGTCAGAGTTATGTTACGGAGTCAACACGGAAAGAATGACATTTAAAATGTCAGAAAGGGCAGTTAAGAGGATTTAACAACAGTTAGTATTTAGCAGGAGAAGGGGGAAATCAGCTGCAACAGCAATACTGTAACATACTTCATAATTACAGTAAGATAATGAAGTGGAGGAAAGGATTTTTTGCAGCAAGTGTAGCGTTCAGTTGACTATGATGGTGAGTGATTATGTTGAATGTGAGCCAAGCACAGAGCATTTGTAATGAAGTGTCAGATCTGGAAAACACATAGCAGGCTCTTATTTTAGATGCTGCTGTTCTCCTTCAGTTTTTCCAGAAGTAGGGCATCAGTGTATGGCAAATAATTGTGGGAAGATTCTTGCCTGAAAGGGCTGTGCAAGATGCAACAGTTTTCTGTGTAGGGTGTGGGACAGTTTAGTTCTCTGCAAAATGTGTTGGCAAAAGCAGGAGTGTTGGCGGTTAGCCATTTTATCTGTCCGGACAGTTAGCTGGGTCGCTAATGTGCTTAACTGCTGGTACTGGGCTATGTAAGCCTTTGCTAGAGATGCATACAGAGTTTTTGGTGACAACTGGTCTGTACCAAGAAGCTGATGTATTTGTGGCTTGGTACTAACTGCAGGTGGTTTATCCCCAATATAAGAGTGTATCCCTTGGTGAGGATGGGGAGATGTGGCATTACAGACAATGCACATAGATACTCAGTAGAGTAGGAAACAATACTGCAATGCTGTAGTAACAGTGTAGCAGTGGTTACTGTGAGCTCATACAGGGAATGAGGGGGCTTTGTTTTAATACAAAACTGGTTTCGTGCTCTCACGCTGCCATAGCCATGTACTCACAAGCATCAAGACAGCAGCATTCAGATGGTCTGTCCAGTGTACAGGCACCAACCAGGCAGTCTGGTCCAGGTTTGTCTTGATGACATGGAGGATAAGGGACACAGGCTATCAAATCTTCATCACTTCAGTCAGGTTGGTCTTAGGTTGGTGACCATGCACTGGTTTTGGATGTGCCATTTTATACCCTTTAGGAACTGACAGTGATTACTCTCTCCATTCTGTCCCACATATGGGAGTTATTAGAATTTATTCATTTACTGTCCTTTGTCTTCTGGTCTGGTTGTCTTCAGGAGCTAAATCTGCTGTCATCTTGATGACCTGCTAAGCTAGGTACTGACAATACCTGCTATTCTGATAGGCCTTTGTGTGCCTCCATGCTGGAACATTCCTGTCCATTCTTCATTCACGCTGATCTGACCCTTTCTATTACAGTTCTGTACAGTAGACTTGCAATAGAGGGCCAATAGGCAATAAGACAATTTGTGCAACCAGAATAATCAAATCTTTAAACAGAAATGGAGCTTGTGGTCTCTGGATTCTAGCTGTCAGATTTGGCTGACCCTTACTGTGTATATTTGATGATTACTGTTCCTGCCATCTAATATAAGCTCTGAAAAAAACTGTGTGACTGATCTGATGCCCGGTCCAGCTTTTCAAATGGGGAGGAAGATTAATGAATTTGGTTCCCGGAAGCAAACAAATAAATTGGCCTTTCTTGTCTTTCTAAGGAAAGGAATGTCTTTTGTCTCTCTCTTGCAGGTAATCATTGCTTCATGGCTGTCTGTAGCTAATCACTTTGCTAAACCTTTTAGTGCGAGTGTATGACAACTGCTGTAAGACTGCTTGTTTGAGAGATTTTTGTCTTATGTAACTGGTTTGCTTCAATATAAGTAAAAGTAAAACAGCAGATAAAAGACTGCTGTGATTACTTTTTTTCTTCCCAACCCAAGAGACTTCCTTCAGGAACATCTCCAGCACAGGAGCAAAATTGGTCTAGGTAGAGCAGAAGTGCTTTAAACCTTATAAATTAAAAGTGCCATGCTCTAACTGTAATAGAGTACCCACTGTTAAATGAGACAAGGAAGCTGCAGAAATAGCAGTTACACAGTTGGAAACATGCCGGTAGAAAGCCAGGCTGGATCACATGGCAGTAAAATGCAACAGTGTTTAATAGACTGAAAAAAACATACTTGGATAATTTTCTCTACAAGCTTAATTGGGAAGAAAATACTGTGATGTTACGTGTATTCAATGACTGCAGGGAGTGAATAAATTAATTTTTTTTTCCCCAAATAGCTGTGTTTGAAAGAATTGAGCTTTAATCCATTGTGTTAATAACAATGTAGTTTTTTTTCTCTAGGTAACAGATGATGGCGTTACAGCACTAGTGAGTGGAACATGTTCAAAGAATTTAAAGGTAACTTACTTAACCTAATAACAGAGAAATGAACAAAAGCAAATACCTGCATTTTTTAATTATTATTATCAGTATTACTTCTGAGGGATGTTTTTTGTTGACTGACTTTTGCCTTTGTTGTGTACACACTTGCTCTGATTTTGGTTATAAATTGAATATTTTCTGTCTCTCTGTAGCAGTGCCCCAGACCAGCTTTTTGAGAACCTCAGTATTTTCAAAATGAGTTTTCTTCTGTTGAACGTAGTATGCTTATTTTAAGTCATGTTGTTTTAGAGAGCTATATAATAAATGCAAATGAATGCTTAACTTTTTCCCTTGATTCCTTTGGAGTTATTTCTTGATTCTGTTGAACACTGAGGCAGAATTTGTAATGTGGATAATTTCATGGATTTAAGAAATCAGTTAGCACCTCTGCATAGGTGAATCTCTAACTCATGAAAGCAAGTGTGAAAATGAAGTTGTTTGCATAAAGATTCTCTAGGCACTGAGACAGTGATAAAATGATGGAGAGGAGGCATCCCATGCCTCTTACTATAAATGATCTACTTTTCTGTAGAGTACATTTCTTATCTGTGTGTATGTTTTTACTTTTGTAAAGGCTGGTTCTGAATCTAAGATAGTCATCAAGAAACTAAGATGGGAAACAAGTCATACTTCTGCTAGTTTATAGTGTTTAATAAAAAAAACGACCCTAAACAAAATACCAAATCTGGGTCAGCTGACAGTATTAATATCCTGGAAAAAATAGAGCTGTTAGTGTTTTATTTGGAGGGCGAACAGTTAGATTTGGGTTTGTTTTTTTCCAGATGATTTTGTTATTTTGGACAACCTTTTTAGTCTGGGTAAGTCTTGTGGTACAAGATGAAATTATTAATTTTCAGATCATAGCAATGAGAGATCTTTTATATACTAGAAGTGACTTGAAAATATCTTTGTCTTTTAGCTGGTTACACCTTTAGCTGTAGCAAAACATTGATTCCAGATTTTCTGAACAACCCTGAGACTATGCAGATAGTCTTCGTAAGACACCTCTCGTATCCAGCCTACAAATGTAAAGCAATGTGTATCACTGTGATTTGGATTAGGTCATTCGGACTAGGTCACTCTCAAAAATTGTCAGTATATATGTCTTAAAACACAAATATTGTAATAAGTTTTCATAAGTTTATTGTAATAAGTTTTCATAAGTTTATTGTAATAAGTTTTGGGTTTGCTATTGAGTAGAGCAGGGTTCTGTAAAGTTCCTAGAGGGTTTTGAACTATTTTCCAGCAATGTTGGTACAATTAGTCTGTCAGTATTATCTTACCTCTTCTGTATTATTACTGTCCACAGTTCGCAGAGAACTATATTCCTGTGTGTAAGCCCTTTTTCTTCAAACCATAGAAATGCAGTTCCCTTTATTTTTAATAAAAATTTCCAGCTTACAAAATGTGGCCTTTGGTGTTTCCTGGTCACATTGCTGTAGTTACTATTTCTTTGAAAGTGCACGGGCTTTCTTTTGTGTGTGCTGTGCATGGCTGCCTGTGGAAGCTGTACTAGATCAGGAGGAACAAGCTAGGTAGCTTACATAAGACCTGCTTCATGTATAAGTGTTCAAGAAAGTAATGTTGAGGTGGTGAGCTTTGATTTCAGAAGAACTAATGGGAAATTTCCATCATGCCAGACTGAATAGTAGTATGGATTTTGCTTGTTTGTTTTCCTGTGCTCGATACTTGTTTCCATTTTCTTAAAAGCCATGTATTTAAGTGCTTTTGCATTTGTTTCTTGGGTGGGGGGGGATAGTCTGTGCAGTTTTAATAAGGAAAAATTTAATGTTTTTCTGTGGAATGACAATTTTAAAAACAAAAGTTGTGTTCTATCAGTATAAAAAGCTAGAATGGTTTAGGTCTCTTGGTTTACAAACAGTAAGAAAAAAATTTCATAGACAATATGGAATTATTTGCTACAGTCTCTTCTTCAGTGTAACTCTTTTACTTGTCTGTGTCACAATCCTCATACCTCTGTTTCATGTCATCAAAGTGCAAATTAATAGGCAGTGATCTAATGTCAGGTACACGGTGAAAAAAGTAGGGTCTTAAAATTCTCAAACTGTAACTAGCAGGCAGATTTATAAATCTCCAGAGGCATTCAGATTTCACATTTTACCTCCTTATTAAAATGAACTAAAAACTATACATATATCAGCTTTTGTATATCTTGCTGCTGTGAATACAGTTCTTGTTTTCTGTGTCATCATTCTGTCAAAGTTGCCTTTATTACAAAAGGTTCCTTTCATTTCTTTGCTCTTTTAAGATCTTTGTAGTTTATCATTTGGAAAGACACTCTTTCACAATAAAACAACGGGGGTTTTTATTTTTACCCTAGGATCCCCAAAGTATATTTTCCCAAATCCTATTTTCGTTAGATTTGATAGTCCTTTTTTTTTTTTTTTGCATTTCTTCTTGTATGTTATGTTTATTGATATGTAAGGTAGTTTAGAGAGGAAAAAAAAGTTGGTAATAATCTGTTAATGTATTCTGAATTTATTCTTTCTTTAGCGCATACAACAGGTACTAGTTATACAACTGCACAGAAATGGAGAGCAGGTTTTAGTCTAGTCTTGGAAGAAGTTCTTAGAGTTCTTTTAGGAACTATGTAGACAGATAGATAGATAGATACTAGGAACTTAAGCAGAGCGTCATGAATCCTGCCTATTTTGGCAAACCCCAGAATTCAGTTTGGGTTCTGTTCTCCTGGACAACAAATTGCTAGGACAGTGTGTGTCACAGGAAAACTGATGGGACTCAAACACCGTAGAATCTCACTGAAGAGTTTTCTCAGTTGTCTTGAACGATATATGTGTTTTGGGAAAACTCAGTTTATGTTTTTAGTTTTGACTCTTCATAGAAAAGCTGTCTTATTTTTCCTGAGGGTATTTTCCTGCTCTGTACAGGACCACATATGGGGTCAATGCACAGAGGAGTAGTAGGTCATAATTTCTTCTGGGTGGCGATCTCTGAAAATGGTCGGGCAAAGGAAAGCTCTGCGTCCAAAACTATGGATGCTCTGATTTTGTTACTACTATTTTTGTAACAGGAGATCCACATGGAGCGCTGCGTGAATCTGACTGATGTTGCTGTGGAAGCAGTCCTTACTTGTTGTCCGAAGATACACATTTTTCTGTTCCATGGATGTCCATTGGTGACAGGTAGGTCACATCATGCAGGGAGTAAGAAGAGTAATTACTTCCTGATAATATGTTCTTGCTCTCTGGAAAAGCACACTATGCTTTGTAAATAATCCCAAACAAATAATAACTTAATAGATAAAATAATAATCATACACTGAGATTTTCAAATCAGGGAGAGAGTTTTGCTTTGAAACATGGCAACCTTCAGAGAGGGATCTTTTGTTGTTTTGGAGTTTGGATTTTTTTTCTTGCACTTTTTTTCCCCCCTCAACATCCTGATGAAGACCCAAAGTTGATGACAAGACTTCAGAAAAATATGTTAGCATATTAAAACCCTACTCTGTTCCAAAAGTATGGAAAAGCATCTATTCAAGAAACAGTGGAATGGAGTAGGACTGGTCAGCTGGAAAAAAAAAAAACAACTTAAGAGCGGTTATGATCTCTCTTGCATTTTTTTTAAGTTCGGTTGGTTGGTAATGCTTTACAGTTATGTGGTTGGAGAAAGAATTGAGTGGTTTTGAATTACTACAGGTATATTTGAAGTATGATATTGTAATAGCAAGATAAGCATAAATGCGGATATATAATTGAATTATTTTGCTGATCACCTAATTTTGAAACACTACCTATATATATTCTGAATGAGTAACAAGAAATTCCTTGGTTCTTTTTGCAGATCGTTCCCGAGATGTTTTAGAGCAGCTAGTAATGTCAAACAAAATCAAGCAAGTAACGTGGACTGTTTACTGATTATTTATCACGTACGTATGAGTGTAAAGTTTACAGATGGAAGAGCTCTTTCAGAAAACGAGCACCTTGGAGAAATAGCTGGTGACTTTTGTACCGCCAGATTGCTTCCCTTCTTGTTCCCACCAGAGGTCTCCGTCGCCATTCCAGTCCTTGCCTGTGAGTCTGGGCTTCCCCATTGCCTCTACTTAGAGCCCTGTCTGTCTTTGCATTGCTGATCATACTTCATTAAGAGGAAAGGTAAACTATTACTAATATTACACTGTCATCGCTCAGCCTCCTTGAAGTGTCAGATTAGGCTACTACTTACCACCTTTTAGCATCTTGGCTACATATACAAATCAAATTCAAGTAAATCTGTGTTCTGAGCTTGTAGTCTGAGAGAATAGTTGCAACTAGAAGTATCAAGCCCAAACATAGTATTAACACTTATGGAGAAGTGTCTGTAAAGTTGGGACTTCAATCTGACAAAAGTCAACAGACAGAACTGGTGAATGGAGGTGGCATTAACAGCAATGCAAATGTATTTCAAGTAGTAACAGACAGTCTCCTTTCACCATGTACTTTTGCTAGGTCTGGGAAAATAACCTGTAGGTACCTTTCTTTTAATGTTACTGATGCTGCAGGTTTCTCTTTTTATTTGCCATTAAATACTTGCTGGACTTTTACACTTCCAAAAGTACAGTCTGTGAACATGTAAACATAAATTTGCTTTAAAATTGTTGTCATGACTTAAATTTCAGAGTAGTAGCTATGACCAATAAAAGAATCTTGTATATGAGCAAATACTTATTTGCTCTGGCTTTTGCCTATGTACTGGCATGAAAATCCTTTTGGGGAACAAAACATTCATCCTCATAAGCACAGCTGTGAGTGAAACAGGACCAAATTTAGTGTCTAAGTACATGAATCTCAGGATGGTAGAGTTCAGCAGAGTATGTGTTCTGCTGTATGCAGGGTATTGTATCTCCAGTGGCCTCCAGAAGCTAAAAATAACAACTGTTTGTATATTGTTCAATTCTAGTTGTAGTAAAGAAAAAAAAAAACATCAGAAGTGTAGAATGAGTTTACTACATGATGGAGCAGTGGTCTCATCACAATTATAAGTCATGTTCATTGGCTTTCTTGAAACAGCATAACCTCTAGTAAGACTTCTATGATTTCTACATTAAACTTTTTAAAATGCTAGCAGTTTTAGAATTATACAGGACAGGTAGCACACTATGTTCATACTCTGCATCTGGAAGTAGCAGAGTTTAGCTAGGGTGGTCTTACATAGATCTGATGACCCTTAGAAACCCATGTGTTTAAGCAACCATAAGGAATAAGTTTACTTTATAATTTAACACCTGTCATAGCCACACTCATTTTAAGTGTTGCAGAAATAAACGGGTCTTCTACTAATCTATTTAAAGTTCAGGTCAAATTGCATGGAAGATAATAATATAACATATGTTGCATCCAGTAATATTAAAGGATATTATGATGTCTGCAAATAATCTCTCTTCTTCTGTTGATTATATGGTTTATGGAAGAGCAAGTCCATTTAGAAAACTTGTTCAAGTGTAACTGAAAGCATAATTTTCAAACTCCAGTGCCTAAGTCCCTAACTTGTTGCATGGAGTGCTATGGCTCAGCCCAGTGGTGAATGCGTTCCTGTGATACCTATAGGCATAACTGCACCCGTACAAACCATTCCTGCAAAGAGAAGGTTTTTTTGCTACATTAGCAACTAGCATCTGAAGGCTGTAATTGCAGCAAATCCTTGGACCAGATAGAGGCCTAAGAACCTAATCTACCACATTTTATTCCTGTTTGTGGCTAAAGAATAGTTTATTGTTTTGCCCTGTGGAATCCCTGGTATCAATCGGGGCCCATCATTCCTTTGAACTCCTGGACATGAGTTGGCAATAGATGTTTTGCACTATTTTGTCATACTGATCCGTCTAGCTGATTAGGCAGCAGCAATGACACGCTCAGTAATCGTGCCAAGTAAGTAAAGCATAAGGATCAGGCTGCCAGCCCTGGTTTCAGGAAGGGTGCCACAGAAAGAGTAAGTAGAATTCTAGGCTAACTCCAGTGGGAAGGGACCTTGGGAGGTTTCTAGTCTTAAATTCCTGCCCAAAGCAGGGCCAGCTCAGGGCTCAGACCAGCTTGGTCAGGGCTTTATCCAGCCAAGTCTTGACAAACTGAAGACCGAAGAGCCTTCACAACCTTTTGAGGCAACTTGTCCCACTGCTTGACTGTATTTATGGTGGAAAAATGGGATTCCTTCTATCCCATTCGACCCTATTTTGTTTCAGCTTACACCCTTTCTCACTGAAGAGCCTGGCTGTCGTCCTGACAACCTCCTCATAGGTATGCTATATAGGTCCCTTGCAGCCTTCTCTTCTCGACGCTGAACAAGCCCAGTTCCCTCAGTCTGTTATTGTAAGACACGTAACTGTAACATAGTGTGGTGATTGTCACCAGACGCTCAAGTGCTACATCCAGAAAGAAAATTGTAAGTGAAGATAATGTAAAGCAGCTAAAGGTGGAAGACCACCAAAATTTCTTAACAGCAAAGGACACTTAAAAAAAACCCTATCTGTGGGACAGTGCTACTGCTAACCTCGCTGGCAAAGTTGGCCTTCTTCCCCTTGCCAATGTAACCTCGGATTTGTCATGTTGAAGGCAAATGCAGCTTACACTGTGTCCTTAAACATGCATGTATATTTACCATCTTCTCCTATAGCCTGTTCTAAATGTGTAACTTAGTGTTATATCCTCACCTTGTGCTTAAATATGTGTACAACACTGCAATGAATTAACACTGTATTTTGGGGTTTGAAAGTTTAATGTAAGTCACATTAAATCCTTCACTGTCAGAGCTTGAGTCTGCTCTCTTATGTGTTTATTGCTAGTGTAATGCTACTGGAATATTTTCTGATTCGGGTTATATCATGGTCTGTTTCAACAAATGTTTACAAGCACTGGGTGAAGTGGGAGAGCAACATTATGTATGCACTTTTCACTTCCTATACTGTATTGTTTGGATATTGTTATTGTTGTAAATTGTTGGGTGAGCACTGCGGAATATTTGCATATTGTTCTGAAGATTAAAGTTTGTAAGTCTTCTGTTTGGATAGTTCTGAAAACTTATTAAATTATATTTTATGACCATGTACATCTGAATGTGCTCCTAAATCTCCTACTTCATAAACATCATGGTTTTCTGAGTACCACATACTTTTTCGCATTTATAAGCTTCCACAACATCACCTGATATTTGGATAGTTGTAGGTGCATTGTGGCCCATTCTGCAGTTATTAGTTCCCCATCACTGCTGGTTCAATAGTTAACTGCTAAAGGTGACAGTTCCTTCAAGACTGCTCTGAAAACATTGGTTTCTTCTTCAAATGGCTGCATTTACAGCCTCTTACCTGTGGATCAAATTTTCTTTTTGGGTTGTTTGTTTGGTTGTTTTTTTTTTTTAACCCTGCAGAGGGTTCTTCCTTGACAGATGTAGCTGAGTGATTCTGGAGCTTGTTGTCCAGCATTTCCTCAAGAGAAGAGAAAAATAATTATATCTGACTGTTATTCCCTAGTTTTACTTAGTTACCATCTGTTCAGAAACATCACGGAAGGAAAGATTTCTTCATCCCTCACCAGCTTCTCATGATGATAGATTGCCTTTTTTTACCCCTGCACAGTTAGGGAATGTAGATCATTTGACCCTACTTTCTAGGGGATACAGTTACACTATAGCTATTACTATTTAGTCACCTTCCACTTACTAAGAACTCTTACTTTGGCTAGAATTCAGGAAGCATAGTTTAGATTTGTGTGCAAGTCCTAAATAATCTCTCCGGCAGCTTCAAGGAAGAGTAGATTTTTATTATAGAGGGGAAGGGGGAGATTCAAATTAGTTAGTTTGACATTCAGAAGAGTTATCCAGAAAAAGAGCAAGGCACTTTTAAGTTGAGCATAGTATGAGCTAATAATCTAGCAGAGAGTTTTATGAAGGAAAGCAGGAATCTGCAAAAGTCTGTGAAAGCAGTGCAGTAATCTTTCAGCCACCGCCTCCTCCCCACAGCAGTATGCTGGATGTCTAAACCATTTCACAATAGTGTCAGAGAGCAAGACGTGAATATATGTGAAAAACATCAAGCATGCAAACTCTTAGATGTAACTTGTCTTTGGATTTGCACTTCCAGCACAGGCCCCTTTGAATAAATACAGTTTGCATGTAGTTTTGACCTCAAACGGAGTGAAAGCCTCAGTGTGACTGAAATCAGTACAGTGAAGGTATAGTAATCTACTTTGCATCAACAGATATGTTCCATGTTTAATTCCCATTTTCATTTTACATACTTAGGAAAAAAGCCAACCAAGTGAGACAAAATTCATTAGAAAGCCAGCTTCAACAGTTTTCTGAACTGTTTGAGGGCTGATAACTCCAGACGATACTTGATGTTAATCCATTGTTTTCTTGTCTAGTATACTCGGGAAGTGAATATTCTATAACTTTGTGCAATTGACTGTGAATGCTGTGGCTTAAAAACTGATGCCTGCCAGGGTCACCAATCAGCACTTCAGTTTGCTGTATCCTGATGCATTTCCTCAGCCAGTGATGCAGACCATCAGCAAGTTGTTCATCGTAAAACATATCTCCTAGAACAATGAGGTCCCAGTTGCCAGCCTCTGAATTAATGATGTTCTTAATGGTGATGGGGAAGGGATTCAGGTGGTTCAGTTCACAGTTCAAGATCATTGCCATTCCTGCAACTGAAGAGAAGTTGAAGTAAAATGAAAGTTACATTTTAGGATTCTGCCATTCAGCTCCCTTACAAATTTCCTTGACACATCTTTCATCTCTTAAATATTTTTGTTTATCCTATCTAGGGACTTCCACAGTTTTCATTATGGGTCAAAATCTGACATAAAGTGATGGAATTTTATCCTCATTGCACCATGATACAGGAAAGAACTATTCCTGGCATGGATACCAATGGAAACCAATCACAGAATCAAACCAGAATACTCAACTGCCTTAATCTATGGATATACTTCCTCCCTAACCAATGAGTAATTAAATTATGAATAAACTGAATTCATAAGTCAATTACAGGAAAACAAAGTCTGGGGGAAACCAGCAAAATCTAGGCCCTAACATACGAAAGTGCAGGACAATGCTATGGTCCTACAGAGAAGCCAACTTGCCGCCTGCGCTTAGAGTTCTCTTCGAAACCAGCCATGATGGTGTGTAGGCAATGCTTGATAGAAACTTGGCTGTTTGTTCATTCTAAGGAGCTATGGAGATATACTCAGTGCGAGAGAGGCTGGTACAACCCAGCTTCTAATACTGGCAAAATCCATTCATCTTTTTAGCATTCTTAGAACTCTGTTTGGAACCTGAGTTTCTCCCAAATGGAGCGAAGAAAAGTCTGTGTTAAATGTGCTTTAAAAATCAATAAATATCTTTACACAGGGATAGAAAAGAGGCCTTACTAGGGTCGATGTCATTAGCAAGGACTTGGGATGCACCACTCATCACAGCAGCTATTGCTGTTGCTCCACATCCACTTCCAAGATCCAAAACTGATCGTCCTTTAACAACGCATGGATTATCTAAAATATACCTGAAAAGAAAAACTGTTAAAGCAATGACAAGATTATGCAAATTTCTCAGTTTTGCATTACACTGCAGAAGAGTTCTTGTCATACATGTAATGAAGCATGGTATCTGAAAAACGCTATTCCATATGTGCAGCTGGTACATAGCTCCTTATTTGTCCCTGCTGATACAAAAAACAAGACCCATCATCTTTCTCCCTTACTTCTCCCCCACCCACCAAACAAAAAAGAGATCCAGCCAAGTAAGCAACATTTTATTTCAGTCAGCTCCTTCTCTGACAGGTGAGCTTATCTAATAAATGGACACAGACTGCAAGGTGACTAACACACTTGGCATCAGAAACAGGAAAGTAAGGATTTGTAGAAATTCAAAGCAGTCTGACTGAAGAAACACGAAGATGTATTTGCAGTGAGTATTGCACCTATCAAAAGACAAGGCCTACCCATTGCCCTAAAATACTGCTCGTGCAACTGCTTGGAAGAGGAGGAATTTCTCCTCTTTCTTTTCCTAAGCCATGCAAGACACAGATGCAAATACTTCTCGTCTGCTTAATGTTGCTCCTGAGTAGCAACAAGAAAAGGAGAATAGAGCAGCAGTGAGCAGAAAGAGTATCTTCACCTAGTTGCTGACACCTGCCAAGAGGAAGCAGCAAGCAAAAACCTCTAGGTTGGAAACGGAGAAGCGAGAGAAGGCAAGCAGCAGTTACTGGTAAACACTATGAATAATCTAGCCATTACTGAGGGTTCAGAACTTTAACAATTGCCATGAAATTCAGTCTTCTGCAAAGGGGAAGGCCCTAAGTGACAGGGGGAGGAGCCCTAAGTGACATACATTACTGCAAATTGCCATACATTTACTACCAATTGCCATAACTTCTGTTAAAGTAGAAACAGGAAAGGATTCTACATTTGTGTTGTCTTCTGGCATGGAAGGTGATGGCTGACTCTTCACGCAGGGCTACCGGTAAGCACAGCTTTTGCAGGTGGGTTCCAATGCAGGGAACTGTAATGGAAACGTTAAGATTGGTGTAAATGGTGAACGGATGGATGGAAATGTCTGGACCTAGAAGCACCAGCAGGAGTGGCAGAAGGAGGCCTAATAAGAGCGTCAAGTGGTAGTGGCACCTAGATCCGAGCACATCTGTATACAGATTCCTAGGAGCCCAGACTGGGAGAACAAAAGACAACCTAGCCTCAAACTAAACAGTTCAAGCCATTAAGAGACCACAGCAGGAAGGTCAAGACCAGGACTGAAGATACAAAATACCCAGATCAGGAAGCCAGGAGAAGTGAGGACCTGACATCCCATGCCTCTTGTCCTACATTTCATCACAAGGAATCCTGCCAGACAGCTTGGGCATGCACAGCTTGGTGCTTGCAAGTACCTGGTTAGGAATCCAATGAGTGAAACTGATTCAGTTGTAATGAAAATCACCTTCTCCTATGAGGTCTGGCACCCAGCTGTGTTACCCTGTTACCGTAATGCTGCAGCATTCTTTGCTACTTTGAAGCTCTACAGATGCTCTCTTTTCTGAGGGCACCCAGACAGGACGTCGGTGCAGGCGCTCAGCAGCTCCGCTGCCTGGCGAGGCTCCCGCTGTGGCCTTCACTTCTCTGAGGACAGCCTGTCACTTACCAACAGGGTGGAAGACAGGGATGGGGCTTTCTAGGGGCTGTGCTTGGACGTGCAATGACTTTCCAGCAGTAGCTTGTGTAGAGCATGATCTGGCCTAAAGCTGCCAGTGCCTTGTTTCCAGCTGAGTGGTTCTCAAGTTACCGCTAATGATTGTGGTGACTTAGGACAGCTGGCACCGACTTTATCCCCTGGCACGCACACAGTGTATTACGCTGCTGTTGGAGACTGCTGTCTGCCATGCTGGGTTAAGGAGGTATCTTAGGTTACACCAAGAGGAACAGCTTGAAACAGGAGACTCCTGATGTTGTGGAAACGCCAACTCTGAAATGAGCACAGTTACGGAAGCAGCATGTTTTCATGCTCCCTTTTTCCTTTTACTCTTCCAGATTATGCAGCTAATTTCTGACATTCCAAATATACCAAAACAAGTGCATAAACAATAAGTCAATAAAGTGGTGAAATGCCAGATAATTATTATTGCTACCGAAATATCCGGGCACATGAATCATACGGTAACAAAATGTAGAGATTACCTTACCTAACTTAATTACACGATGTTTAGGAGCACTTTAGTTCATCTACATGGCAGGCTAACCAGCTCGCAAATTAACTGTAAGACCTTCCTATTTATCCTGGTTTTCGCTGGGATAGAGTTGTTTTTTTTTTTATTCTAGTAGCTGACATAGGGCTGTGTTTTGGATTTAGGGTGAGAATAATGCTGATAACACACTGAAGTTTTAGTTGTTGCTAAGTAGTGCTTACACTAGTCAAGCACTTTTCAGCTTCTCATGCCCTGCCAGCAAGAAGCTGGGAGGGGGCACAGCCAGGAAAGTTGACCCAAACTAACTAAAGGGCTATGCCATACCATATGACATCATGCTCAGTATATAAACTGGGGGCAGTTGGCTGTTGGGGGAGAACCACTGCTCAGGAACTGGCTGGGCATTGGTCGGTGGGTGGTGAGCAGTTGCATATGCATCACTTATTTTGTATATTCTATTATGATTATTATTTTTTTTCCTTCACTTTCTGTCCTATTAAACTGTCTTTATCTTAACCCACAAATTTTACTTTTTTTCTTTTTTTTTCCTGATTCTCTCCCCCATCCCACTGGGGCGGGGGGAGCGAGCGAACGGCTGTGTGGTGTTTAGCTGCCTACCAGCTTAAACTGCAACAGTCCTTTTTGGTGCCCAGCGTGGGGCACAAAGGGTTTACAATAACGACAGATCTGCCCAGAGCGTGTTAAAACAAATTTGTGATAAGCATTCATTGGTCACAATGTTGTTTTTTCTTGCAGAAAAACAGCAAAGCCCCAATTCAGATTCTTCCTTTTCATCAGTGTGGGGAATGTCTGGCAGCTTGTTCTTTGCTGTAACAATTACTAACTTTTTCTGCTGCTGTTCAAAGTGAGAGATTTGATTTTAGAGAATAAAAGACCTTTAACTAGTTCCTGGGAATCAGGAACATTAAAGACGTTTTGACAGTAAGTGGCCAAAATCAAAATGTGGCTTCTGACATGACTAAAAGACAGCCACAATAAGGCTTGACAATAAGGCTGCTGAAATCCTAAATGAGGAGAGTGATTCAGGCCAACCAGCACTCCAAGTGGATCAGCATAAACCTACTTTTCTCAACCAACCAGACACACATCCACACTCCTGTCTGTCTCCTACAAAAAAAAAAAAAAAACAAACCACATGTTACAACAAAACAGCAATCCTCCCGTTTGAAACGACGAGTGATAGAATTAAACACCTCGCCAGGTTTTGGTGGCAACTGCACAGCCCTTCCACAGCTCCAAATTCAGCCCCATTGTCAACACATGCATCACCACTGATTTCAACTTAAGAGCCGCAAGTTATTCTATATGCAGCAGGTGCTGAAACTTCACTGCCAACCAGCAGAGATTGCGTCTCTCCCGTAGAAGCAGAGAGGAGTGTGGATAATGCACTCTCATACAAGGCAAATACACATCGCTAGGAATCACTACAAGCAGAGCCAGGTCTGACACCCTGGCCCACAGCAGACTGGACTTAGCAACTTTGGTGACGCATGCTGCGTACCTGGAGAGGGCTTGGCCTCCTGGCCAGTAAATTGCCCAGAACGGGTCTCCATAAGGCCACAGGTCAGGTTTTTCCCTCCAGAACCTGCAGCGAGGGGTGAGGAGGCGCAGTCGTATCTCCGGCGTTAGGTGCCCGCTGCTGGTGACCTCTGTGTTCTCCTCCAAAAAGGCTCTCACCTCGGGGTCCAGAGACTTGCCGGCACTCCAATGGCAGCAGCGCTTCCAGCGAAGAGAGGAGCCTCCCCTCCTGCTCCTCCAAGCCTTGGCAAAGGTGTTCTGCCTGCCCAAGAGGAGGAGCCGCTTCCAGCCGCGGAAGGCCATGTCTCCCCAAGAACAAACCTTCCCCAGGAGAGCTCGGAGCACAGCTTATCTGATGAGCACAGCAGGTGATGAGGCAGAAAGCTTGAAACAAACTCACAGGATGTTGTTTTTCATAGTGATGGATGACAATTCCTGAAAGAGAATAATGCTACCTAAGTGATGTTTCTTCAGTGACTTCAAGGCTATGCACCACCAGGGCTTTAGGAAGAGGAGGTCAACATGCTGTTGCGTGACCATGAACACGCCCCTGCCCAAAGAGCCTTTGAAGTCTGAAAGAAGTGATATTTAAGGAAGAAGCTATCAAGAGACCCATTCAGAAGAGTGCTATAAACATATCCTGTGAGAAACAACCAGTTAGCGGGACAGCTGATAGAGCTAAAAATTAAATGTGCAGCCTTTTAACATCTCCCTCCCTCTGCCTTGAATATACACACACAGCAAGCTACTCCCATTTAAGGTTCTTCCATTGAATCTTAAGATTGCAGTAGGACTCTGGCATTGCAGGGCCTATGGACATAGCAAAGGTTATCAGTAGGTTGCTTGAGAGATGCCATTAATTACAAGTTTTATAATGGTAATGAGTCTTTTATATGAAAACACCTCTTTAAAGTCAAGCAATTAAAAGATTTCCTCAAAAGACTTTCCTTTCTCCCTCAGATTTGTCAGGCTGCTGGCTCCAAAATGAAAAGAAAAAAAAAAAAAATCCTCAAGAGCTGATCTTAATCAGAATACTCCCAGTTTGTTGCATTTCAGTCTGTATTTTAAAGGATCAGTTAGTCTTATGGTGCAATAGACTCATGTGGATGCTCTCAGCTGTAGAAGAAAGTAGACCTCCATCACTGTAGCCTGCTTCCTGTCAGAAACTATATAAACGTGCTCCAAGCTGTCTAAAGAGAGAGAAACTGAATCCAACACATTTTAAAAAATAAAGTTTTTAAAAGGTGAGACATTCAGACTGGATGAGCTCATACTCAAAGGCCTTCTGACACTACTCAAGGCCAGGAAAAGGAGAATGGAAGAGTCAGAGTTCAGACTCATTTAAGAATCAGGAGAATGGAGAGTGGAGAGCCACAGCACCCAGCTGAGAGGCAAATGAAGTCATCACCATACTCATCATCTGCCATCTCTTGCAGACCCTGGGTCTTTCTTATGCTGATCCTGCGAGTATCCTTACCAAGCGGTGGCCTGAAGAGAGAGAAACTGTTTTCCTGCCTTCCCTGCTCCAATCTCCGCCTTCATCCATCCTTTACTATTTCCATAACTTTTTTTCCTTCCTCATCTTGCTCTCTAATTTCTTTTCAGTAACTTGGACTTACTTGCTTCAGGGCACAGCTTTTGAACCTCCTCCTAAGCTGATGACCAGAGAAGCATTTAAGGCCTGTGCTTCCACAACAGCAAGACTGCAAGTACGAACAGACACAAGAGAAACTCTCTATTTTGCGATTGTTTTCTCTCTTCCACAGTGGTTTTCATGAAAAAGCAGAATGATGCATGAAGAAAATCAACTTCAGCCCACCCCTGCCAATTTTTCACAACAGAAGACTTGTGGCCAACTTTGCCATCTAGAGCTGTGCAGGTTGTCCTTAAAAAAAAAAAAACAAACCTAAACAAAGGGACAATAGGAAAAATATGTTAATAAAACAAAGTCTTAACACTTTGTATTTCATTACTTCAGTTTTTCTTTGTTTGTCTGTATCTTCAGTAAAAGTTCTTATGTGTTGAGCAGCATTTTTGTTATGTGCTGGCCTCTGCTTTAGGTACTGGGTTTAGTTTGGTTGTTTACTAAAATGTTAAGCTGTGAACTTCCCTCCCGTAAGGCCTTGCTATTTAGGCTGGTAGTCCAGTCTTTAAATCATTAGCTAAAGGCTTTGTATTTTTATTACAAATAAATACATGTGACTGAACATTTGCATTCTTCCACATTTGAGAATGCCATTCAGCAGAGTCCATGTGATTAATGAATGTAATTAACAAATGCCTGCCTTCTTGAAGGCAGAGCTATGTAGTCCCCATCTGCCTAAAGGAAGCATGAAGTTAATTGAAAACGATCAGAGAGAGAAATGTTGTCAGCTAATGCTGTATGCTGGCTTTTCCCCATGAATTGCTGCAAATCAGCAGGGCTGAGAATCAGTAGCATATATTTTACATTGTGTGTCACAATGGTTACTCTTTTTAAATTAATTGTCTGTAGAGCAGTATCTGCCAAGAGCTCTGTGCTCAAAACGCCAAACTGAGCTTAAGCGTTCAGTGCAGGAAGGCGTCAGGATAGACATCCTCGCGTTTGACGCTCCTGGCCTTCCTGTCTTCTTGGGAATAAGATCAGTGGGTGAGCTTAGAAAAAGGGACAAAACCAAAACCAAACAGAACCCACAAAAAAACCAAAAAAACCCAAAAAATTCAAAACCAATGCCGATGCAATTTAAGTTTTTTTTTTTTTTTTTTCCCCTGAAAGCAGCAGGTGCTTTTCAAAGCATCACCAGACCGACCGCACGTCTGCTACC